GCACGCGTAGCACTTCCTCGACATCACAAGGGGGTGCGCTGGGGGTGGTCTCCCTATCCGTTGCAGGCTCGCAAAACGTGGCAGGCGTGGCACTTTCTCGACACCACAAAAGGGGGTGCGCTGGGGGTGGTCTGTTAATCCGCTGCGGTCTCGCAGAGCGTGGCAGGCGTGGCACTCCCTCGACACCACAGGGGGTGCGCAAGGGGTGGTCTGTTAATCCGTTGCGGCCTCGCAAAGCGTGGCAGGCGTGGCACTTCCTCGACACCACAAGGGGGTGCGTTGGGGGTGGTCTCCCTATCCGTTGCGGCCTCGCAGAGCGTGGCAGGCGTGGCACTTCCTCGACACCACAAGGGGTGCGTTGGGGGTGGTCTCCCTATCCGTTGCGGCCTCGCAAAGCGTGGCAGGCGTGGCACTTCCTCGACACCACAAGGGGGTGCGCTGGGGGTGGTCTCCCTATCCGCTGCGGCCTCGCAAAGCGTGGCAGGCGTGGGTCTTCCTCGACACCACAGGGACAGCGCTGGGGGTGGTCTCCCTATCCGTTGCGGCCTCGCAAAGCGTGGCAGGCGTGGCACTTCCTCGACACCACAGGGGGTGCGCCCGGGGGTGGTCTCCTATCCCGCTGCGGCCTCGCAAAGCCGTGGCAGGCGTGGAAATTACTCGACACCACATGGGGGTGCGCTGGGTGGTCTCCCTATCCACTGCGGCCTCGCAGCGCGTGGCAGGCGTGGCACTTCCTCGACACCACAGGGAAAGCGCTGGGGATGGTCTCCCTATCCGTTGCGGCCATGCAAAGCGTGGCAGGCGTGGCACTTCCTCGACACCACAAGGTGGTGCGCTGGGGGTGGTCTCCATATCCGCTGCGGCCTCGCAAAGCGTGGCAGGCGTGGCTCTTCCTCGACACCGCAGGGAAAGCGCTGGGGGTGGTCTCCCTATCCGTTGCGGTCTCGCAAAGCGTGCGCAGGCGTGGCACCTGCTCGGACACCACACGTGGTGCGCTGGGGGTGGTCTCCATATCCGCTGCGGACTCGCAGCGCGTGGCAGGCGTGGCACTTCCTCGACACCACAGGGGGTGCGCCGGGGGTGGTTTCCCTATCCGCTGCGGCCTTGCAAAGCGTGGCAGGCGTGGCACTTCCAGGGGGTGCGCTGGGGGGGGTGGTGTCCCTATCCGTTGCGGCCTCGCAAAGCGTGGCAGGCGTGGCTCTTCCTCGACACCACAGGGAAAGCGCTGGGGGTGGTCTCCCTATCCGTTGCGGCCTCGCAAAGCGTGGCAGGCGTGGCACTTCCTCGACACCACAGGGGGTGCGCTGGGGGGGGTCTCCATATCCGCTGCGGACTCGCAGCGCGTGGCAGGCGTGGCACTTCCTCGACACCACAGGGAAAGCGCTGGGGATGGTCTCCCTATCCGTTGCGGCCATGCAAAGCGTGGCAGGCGTGGCACTTCCAGGGGTGCGCTGGGGGTTGGTGTCCCTAGCCGTTTCGTCTCGCAAAGCGTGTGCCAGCGGCGTGGCTCTTCCTCGACACACAGGGAAAGCTGCTGGGGGGTGGTCTCCCTATCCGTTGGGGCGGCCTCGCAAAGCGGTTGGCAGGCGTGCACTTCCTCGACACCACAGGGGGTGCGCTGGGGGTGGTCTCCATATCCGCTGCGGACTCGCAGCGCGTGGCAGGCGTGGCACTTCCTCGACACCACAGGGGGTGCGCCGGGGGTGGTTTCCCTATCCGCTGCGGCCTTGCAAAGCGTGGCAGGCGTGGCACTTCCAGGGGGTGCGCTGGGGGTGGTGTCCCTATCCGTTGCGGCCTCGCAAAGCGTGGCAGGCGTGGCTCTTCCTCGACACCACAGGGAAAGCGCTGGGGGTGGTCTCCCTATCCGTTGCGGCCTCGCAAAGCGTGGCAGGCGTGGCACTTCCTCGACACCACAGGGGGTGCGCTGGGGGGGGTCTCCATATCCGCTGCGGACTCGCAGCGCGTGGCAGGCGTGTCCGATCCTCGACACCACAAGGGAAAAGCGCTTGGGGGATGGTCTCCCCATCCGTTGCGGCCCTGCAAAGCTTGGCAGGGGTGGCCTTTCCTCACACCACAAGTGGTGCGCTGGGGGTGGTCTCCATATCCGCTGCGGCCTCGCAAGCGTGGCGCAGTGGCCTCTTCCTCGACACCCGCAGGGACAGCGATGGGGGTGGTCTCCCTATCCGTTTGCGGCCTCGCACAGCGGATGCAGCCGTGTGGCACTTCCTCGACCAACAGGGGGTGCGCTGGGGGGGTCTCCATATCCGCTGCGGACTCGCAGCGCGTGGCAGGCGTGGCACTTCCTCGACACCACAGGGGGTGCGCCGGGGGTGGTCTCCCTATCCGCTGCGGCCTCGCAAAGCGTGGCAGGCGTGGCACTTCCAGGGGGTGCGCTGGGGGTGGTGTCCCTATCCGTTGCGGCCTCGCAAAGCGTGGCAGGCGTGGCACTTCCTCGGCACCACAGGGGGTGCGCACAGCGGCCATTGTGCACGACGGTCGTCCACGGCATAGCAAGCGTGGCGCTTTCTCGACGCCAGACGGGGTGCGCAGGGGGTGGTCCCCCACCGCGGCCGCTATGCGCGCCGGTCGTCCAGGTCACCGGGCTCGCAAAATGTGGCTGGCGCGGCGCTTCTCCTCTTCCACCTCTCCTCTTGAGTCGCGTCACCAACGCTATCGGCGGGGCAACGGCCACCAACATCATTCTCCCATGCTTCACTTCAGCTATCATCATTCCAGCCATAATATAAATATGTGGGGTTCCTTGGTAGCGTAATTGTTTCTCTTCGCTGGATGGTCCAAGATCCAAGATCCTCCTCGATGGTCCTGGCCGAAAAAGGAGGCTCACGTCCGAGCGATGCCGAGGACCAGTGAGAACGGCGAATGATGGGCTGCAGAGGCAAGGACGCAAAAGGTACCCTACGGAAAATCTATCGCATTTAGTGTGGATGTTGACTGTAGTGTTTCTGGCATAGTTGTTTGGCTCGGGGGCTTTATATGGCTCTATCACTAACGGGCTCCCCTTACTAAGGGCCCTGGCTATACCCGATACACACCATAGCCCAGGCGTGGGATTCTGAAGTGGAGCTCTGGGGGTGGCCTTCCGAGCTGCGATTTCCGCCTCCTCCTCTAGGCTCGGGCTCTCAGCCTCCCGGTGCGCAGAACCCCCTGCGGGCTCGTGCCTGGCAAGTTCAGTAGAGCCATCGTCGTCGTCGTCGTCGTCGTCGTCGTCGCTCGTGTTCGTGTTCGTGTTCGTGTTCGTCGTCGTCGTAGTCGGTCGTCGTCGTCGTCGTCGTCGACGTCGTCGTCGTCGTCGTCGTCGTCGTCGTCGCTCGTGTTCGTCGTCGTCGTCGTGGTCGCTCGTCGTCATCATCTTCGTCGTCGTCGTCGTCGTCATCGTCGTCTTCGCCTCCCTGACATCCGACACCGGACTCCGCGCGTGGCGGGCCCCCGGGGGGACGCCGCGGCGCTGCGCCGCCTGCGCCAGTGGATGCACTCCACGCGCGGCGGTGCAGCGCGGACAAGGAGGAGGAGGAGGAGCAGGAGGAAGAAGAGGAGGAGGAGGAGGAGGAGGAGCAAGAGAAGGAGGAGGACAAGGAGGGGGAGGAGGAGGAGGAGGAGGAGGAGGAGGAGGAGGAGGAGGAGGAGGAGGCGGAGTGAGGCCAGGGTCGCTCCACCTCGACGTCGGATGGAGCGACGACCTCGGGCGGCTTGTCATCGCTCGGGCGTCCATTCCCCGTGCATGCTTCGGCTTCGTGCTCGCTGTTCTCGCCAGATGAATCAGGATGCTCCTCGATGGCCTCGATGATCCTCGATGCACACGTCCGAGCGACGTCAAGGCATTGAATGGCCCTCGCGCCCCCGCGGGCGGCCGACGCCTCCGCGGCCCGCGCCCGCGGCCTGGCACTGGGGCGCCGTGCGCAGAGGGGGCGAGGGGAGCGCCTGCACCTGGGGGCCGAGGGACTCGTCGAACGCGTCGAAGTCGGGCCCCTGCAGCGACTTGGTCGTCTGCGCGGCGCGGGCGGACGGTGCTGCCCTCTCCTCCTCTTCCTCCTCCTCCTCCTCCTCCTCCTCCTCCTACTCCTCCTCCTCCTCCTCCTCCTCCTCCTCCTCCTCCTCCTCCCTCCTCCTCCTCCTCCTCCCTCCTCCTCCCGTCCCCACTCCCGTCCCTCCCCATGCCTCCTCCTCCTCCTCCTCCTCCTCCTCCTCCTCCTATTCTTCTTCCTCCTCTTCCTCCTCTTCCTCCTCCTCATCCTCCTTTTCCTCCTCCTTTTCCTCCTCCTCTCCTCCTCTCCTCCTCCTCCTCCTCCTCCCCCGTCCCACTCCCCGTCCCCGTCCCCATCGTCCTTCCTCCTCCTCCTCCTCCTCCTCTTCCTCCTCTCCCTCCTCTTCCCCTCATCCTCCTTCCCTCCTCCTTTTCCTCCTCATCCGCCGCCTCCTCCCTGTTCTGCTGCTCCTCCTCCTCCGCCGCCTCCTCCTCCTCCCTCTTCTCCTCCTCCTCCCCTTTTTCCTTCCCCCGTTCCCTGCCGCATCACCCTCCTCATTCTCCTCCGCCTCCCTCCTCCATTTCCTCCTCCTCCTCCGCCGCCTCCTCCTCCATTCCCTCCTCCTCCTCCTCGTCCACATCCTCGTCCACGTCCTCCTCCTCCTCCTCCTCCTCCTCCTCCTCCTCCGCCTCCTCCTCCATTCCTTCTAAATGGCTTCCCCCTGTCGCACCCCGATGCCAGCTTTAAGAGTTGGGTCCGCGATTCGCCCGAGACCTCCTCAACATTTACGACCCTGAAGCTTAAACGTTGGCTACCGTTTCACAAATGGAGGGCGGGTGGTTTTCAAAGTGCGGCTCTCGCTACAGCGCCGCGCACATTGTGTTTAAACAGTTGCAAGAATTTCACAAGTTGAGGGCGACCCGTTTTCAGCATGTGGTTCTCGCCTTAGCGCCGTGCGCATTCGTTTTTTATGTTGCAAGAGGTTCGCGGGTTCCCATGGTCATCGTACCAGAAAATGTGTTGGAAGGATTCAGGGCTATGAGGGCGCAACAATTAGGTTGGCTCGCGGTGCTGAAGTCCCGATAGCGGCGTTCTGGCACTATTCAAGATCGTCAAGACGTAACAAGTTGATCCGTGGCGGCGGATTCCCGAGAACAATGTTTTGGCATGCTTCAAGATCTTCAAACGGTTGCCTTCCAACGAAGTGGTTCACTCAATGGAAATTAACCGTGCTAGGGGCCTATGGATATGTAGCTTGGAACGAAGGTTTATTCCAACATCGATAGTGGCTCTTGTGTTTATACTCGTCCTCCTCCTCCTCCTCCTCCTCCTCCTCCTCCTCCTCCTCCTTCCCCTCCCTCTCCCCCCCCGCCCCCTGAACAAAGACATCTGGGACTAATTGGAACCGTGCTTGTGGGGTTTGTTGATTTGCTGAAAATCGTTTGAACACTTGTTTCTTTCTGTTCTCCTTCAGTATTTTTGGTAAGGTATTGCGCAACATTCTCGAACATGTGTTTGTTCTTGCTTCCTCTTGAAGATGCAGCTTGTTTTTTTTATTGGGGGGGGGGTAGCGCCCGTTACGGGGGGGGGGTCCGGCCCCAAATTGGGGGTAACGGTAACGCCCGGCGGGGCCCTCGCACGGGCCCTGGTACTTATTACCAGCACAACTGTCGGCACGGTAGGCTTCGTCGTCGTCGTCGCCGCTGTCGTCGTCGTCGAAGCCGACCGTGCCTGTGCACACTACACAGGCTCTGTACACCGAGATGCCTTTGTACACCACAACTGCGGCAGAAATGGTATGTGTGTGCACCACGGCGACTGAGCACATCATGACAGGCGGGTGCACCACAGCGCCCTTGTACATCTCACTGTTGGTGCATACCACGGCGCCCGCGTGCACCACAGCTGCTGTTTCAACGCCCCGTGTTTGCACCAAAATGCCAGCGCACACCACAAAGCTTGTGTACACCTGTAAGGTACCGGCGGAGCGAAAGTCCTGAAGATCGCTCGGGGCCCACCGTTGCCCTTTCATTATGTGAGCTGCTTGTGGATCTTAATTTTTCTGGTTCAAAAAGCGCTCGGACCTGTTGAGCCCACAGCGCCTGTGTACTCCATTGCGACTGTGTACATCATGGGAGTGTGAGCCGTGGCGCCTGTGTATACCACATGGCATGTGTGCACCACAAAGCTTGTGTACGGTTTTTTGTGCGGAGTGTAAACCACGCGCCGTGGGGGCGCGCGGGGCGGCGGCAGCCTAGGGAATACAGGAAGCAGGAACTCCCTGCACAGGCGCAAAGCCCTTGAGACATGGGTCGACGGCTGGAGCGTGCACGCGGGTGCGTCGTCGTCGTCGCCGTCAAGTGCGACGGCGACCGGGGGGGCGACGGCGGCGGCGGCGGCGACACGGGCGGCGGCGACGGTGACCACGACGACGACGACGACGACGGCGGCGGCGACGGCGACGACGCCGACGGCGGCAAGCGGCGGCGGCGACGGTGACCACGACGACGACGACGACGACGGCGGCGGCGACGGCGACGACGCCGACGGCGGCAAGCGGCGGCGGCGGCGGTGAAGGTGACCGCCGCCGCCGTCACCGCCGGCGTCGTCGCCGCCGATGCCGCCGTCGCCGTCGCCGCCGCCGCCGCCGTGTCCGCAGCCAGTTGCCGAAAGCTTCAGCAGCGCTTGGGGCCCACTTGCTGGATACACATGCGGGGGGCTGGCGTGACCAGCCGCGCGAGGTAGGAGGGCCGATCGCTGGAAGGACATGCGGCCACATCCGCGTGCAGGTCTCGCCCAGTCCAGCCCCTTGCACCAGCACAGGGAGAATGGAGGGAGGACAGTGGTAGTAGTCATAATGATATGGTGAGAATGCACTGGCTGGTTTCGCCATGGCTTGCCCGATGCGTTACACCACACGTTGTGCTTGCGTACAATTACCTGCGCCATAGGTTGCGCCGTAAGCTGCGCCATAGGATGCGCCCCCAGGGCGTGCCATAGCTTGCGCCATACGTTGCGCACCCAGGGCGTGCCATAGGTTGCGTCGATGGTCGCGCCACAGGTTGCGCCAAAATGTCGGCGCCGAGGTTCGAACCTCGAACCTCGAACCTGAGCACACATGTGAGCGTCACAACATGCCTGCCTGGACGGAGGGGGGGTCCGCACCCCCGTCCCCGTACGCTCGTTACCGTTCCGGGGGGGGGGGGGGGCCCTGAACGGGCGTTACGGGTCCGAGCAATAAAACAACAAGCTCATGTCACTCGCCATGCTACTGGCTTCGAATTCTGTTGTACAGCACAACGAATCCGTTTGCAGGGCAGCCACACAAGGTTTTTGTTTGCAGGGCCGCCGCCAAAACAAACATTTTGTAAGGCCGCCACCAAACTAATCCTTTTGCTGGGCCGCCACACACGGAATCATGTCGTGAGGCAGCCACACAAGGAATCACTGCGTAAAGCTAACACAGGAGGGATCCTTTTGTCAAGGCGCCACGGCAAACACACAAAGAATCCGCTTGTAGGGCCGCCAACAAAAATAAACAGTGCGTAGAACCGCCGCACCAGGATTTCTTTTGTAAGGCCGCCGCAAAAGGGAATCAATTCGCAAGGCCGCCACAACAAAAAATCCATGCGCAAAACAACCACACAATAATATTTCCGTAGGGCCGCCTAGGGCAGGCAGGCGGACACGAATGAAAACAACAAGACATGCAAAACACTCTACAGAGAAAACCAATGAAATCCTAAGACTTCCGTGCGGAAACCATGCAAGAGCAAAAGCAACAGATGGTGTTAACAACTGGTGCACACGAGGCCTGTGAAAACATATGGTTTCATGACGTCGAGGTGCCAAGACCTACTGTGCTTTAAAGGTTTCGAGGCGAACACATAACAACACAGACACGGGTTACCGTTAGTTACTGCAAGCTGTGCGTACGGTTTTCTTGGGACGCCCATGTTTGGAATGCTATGTTTTTTGTGGTCTCCGCATTTTCGTATGTTCGCGCCCGGGCGCTGCGACGGCCCTCGCGCCGCCAGGGGCGGGCAGGCGAAAACGATCAAGGAAGGAACGCCTCCCCCCAACATAAACAAACAAGGACATCACAGGACACCCATACGAAACAACGCAAACCACATGAAAAACGTACACACGAAACCGTTGAACACAAATGGTGTCGTTACGTCGAGGTGCCCAAATCGTGTGTTTTCCAAGGTTTCGTGGTGATCAGGTGGCAAACTTATGAACTTTCATTCGTTACCGCAGCTTTGTCGTCTCTTCTTTTGGTTTTCGCAGCAAGCAAGAAAACACAGTAGTGTTCGTCCTGCAGTTTCGCGTGTTCGCGCCCTGGCGCTGCGCCAGCACTCGCGCCGCCAGAAGCGGGCACGCGAAAATGCGAAAATGGCGGAACATGTAAAACACAGAGAAAACATCTCAAGACACCCATACGAAATAATACCAACACCTGAATAAAAAAGACAAGGTTTGGGCTGACTGGGGCGCGCGAAACCTGTGAAACCATACGGTTTCGTGGCGTCGAGGTGCCATGCCAAGACCTGATGCTTTCACAAGTCTCGAAGCGAGCAGTTCGCAGCAGAAAAAGTTGGTTACCCTTAGTTTTGTTGCAGCTAGTTGCGTGGATTTCTCGGGCTGTCGTGTTTTTGTGCTGGATTCGTCTGTTAGAATTTTCGCATTTTCGCATGTTCGCATGTTCGCACTGTTCGCATTTTCGCATGTTTCGAATTTTCGCAGTTTTGGCATTTCGCGTTTTTGATAGTGTCTTGTTTTTTTTTTTTCCGCATTTTCGCCTGTTCGAGCCCTGGCACTGCCGCGGCCCTCGCGCCGCCAAGGGCGGGCACGCGAGCATGCGGGAATTATTCACGGTGCGGGGATCCCCATATGTGCATCTCCTTGCTGGCGCTCCCTTGGTGGTGGGACTCGGTGAGGACGAATCTGGATTTAAGTGTGGCTGAGCTGCCTCTCTCTCTGCTCTCTCTGCTCTCTCTGTCTCTCTCTCTCTCTCTC